CAAAATATAAGATGATGAATTAATCAGCTTTTTGTTGCCACAATGAAATACTTGACACAGATTACACATGAAGAAAATGTGCCTTTTTTTTTTTTTTAAGCTCACAGTTCTAGAGACTCAAAATCATCGTGCCTGCATTGACTTAGTTCTGATGAGGGCCATAGCCAATGGCAGATGGTAATGGTGGAAGTGTATGTCAGGCCAGTGATTACCTCTTAAGTCAGGAAGCAGAAACAGAACCAGGGCTGGTTTGTTCCTCTTTTAACAATCTCTTCAAAGGACTCAAGGGGTTGCATGAGAATTAACTTCCAAGAGAATGTGTCCAGTGACCTAAGATCCTGCCATTAGTCTCACCTCTCAAAGTTTTCACTATCTCCCAATAGCTCCACTCTGTGAACCAAGTCGTCCCCCGCCAACAGGATGGACCTTGGGGGAACACAGACTATATCTAAACCACAGTAGGTGACCAGTAGCAGAACGAAATATACATATGTAACTTCTAAACCACTAAAGAAGTGGATCAAAGGGGGAAAAAAAATCAACCCAAAATTCAAGATGGGGACAAAACCATAAAACAATCTTCCTGATAAATAGATTAAAGGACAGTCCTCAGGTATTTTGGAAAAAAAATAGCACCCACTTTTATAAATGCAAGCAACCTACTAAAAATTAAATGACAATGACTCATGGAAGACAACAAAGGTTCTGGAATAGAGTTCTGGACATTGCAATTAGGCAAGAAAAAGAATGAAGAGGCACACATATTGAAAAAAGGAGGTAAATTCAGCATTATTTGCAGATATGTCTCTGGGCCTACAAAATTAATGAAAATCAACTAGATCCAGGAAGGTTGTTCATTACCAAGTAAATACACAAAAAAATTAATATAAAAATGCAATGAAAAAACATATTGCTCACAATAAGGACATAATACATAATAACTAGAAATAAACTTAAGAAGCAGTTTGCAATAAGGATATGAAAAAAGCTATAAATTCTTGCTTTGGGGACATATAGAAAAAAAGTAAAATAAAAAGATAGTTTGCCCTCAATTGATCTATTAATTTCCACAAAAAGTTTCCAAGTGATTTTCTTTTTTATGTTATTCTAAGATTGTTTAATTAGAATGAATATCCAGGTAAGTTCTTTTTGTTTGTTTGTTTGTTTATCAGGGATTGAAAGCAGGGTAACTCAACCACTGAGCCACATTCTCAGGATTTTTTTGTATTTTATTTAGAGACAGGGTCTCATTGAGTCACTTAGAGCCTAAGTTGCTGAGACTGGCTTTGAACTCGTGATTCTCCTGCCTCAGCCTCCTGAGCCACTGGAATTACAGACATGCAACAGGGCACCCAACCCCAGGTAAATTTTTTAAATGAAGAATAATGAGGGAATCTCTGCCATACCGCAAACAAAAATAATTATAAAGCTACAGTATTTTTAAAAAATTGGTGGTGGAATATGGATGAGGCTATAAGGGAAAGAAATGACCAAAATGAGATGTGAATTTAGAATATAATAAAGGGAGCATTTCTAAATTATTACCTAAAAACACTAATGTTCAATGAAATATATTTATATAAACTGGCTATCCATTTGGAGAAAAATAAAGCTAGATTCCTTCTCTCAATCTTCCAGATAAATAAAAATTAAAGTATTTAAAGAGATAAATTAGAACAAATTGAAAAAAATGATTACAAAAGGTATTTCTGAGCACAGAAAAAAAAACTCATCAAAGGAAAAAAATGATAAGTAAAAATAAAAATTTATATAATTCCATGGGGGAAAACCCACATTGAACAAAAAGAGTAAAACATTGTAGAGCATTTTACAAAGGTTGAAACTTCCAGTGCCCAGAGTTTTTTGGTAGCTTTTAATTTTGAAATAATTTGAGACTTACAGAAAAGTCACAAATACACTCTTTCTCCTCTGGTTCACTAATTGTCAATATTTTACCAATATTTGTTTTATAGTGTCTATTCATATGTACATATACATATTCACATAAATATAAATGTTTATGAAGCATTTGAAATTAAGTTGAAAAAAAATGGCTCTTTTGCTATTAATTACTATAGAATATAATATCCAGAGTTTATATAACCCAATAGAAATAAAAGGAGTTCAACATGAGAACAGGGGGAAAAGTCAGGTAAAAGTGAAATGGTATGTTGCTGAAAGCCATAGCCAAGTAGGAATGACGCATGGCATTTTTGGTTGAAAGGTGATGCCAGCAAGCCATTGAGATGATAATGATTATGTTAAGATGTGCATTTAATTGGAGATTAGACCCCTACTGTCCGCCATGGGCCTGCTACTTTGGAGCTCTCCCGGGACTCCCGGAGAGTTCCCATTGGTTGGGGAAGTGCAGTAGGAGGGAATTCCGGAGGAGGGATTTCCTGTTGGTGTAGTGTGTCCCGGAAGAAGGCTGCGTGCATGGCATTCGCAGGAGTTTTGGAAATAAAGTTTGTTCCTGTTTGAGTGGCTCGTGATTTTGTGCCCAGTCAGACTGCAGCAGTATGTTGGACAAAGTGATCATTTTATTTGAACTCCCTTTGTCCCTTTAAATTTTATTTAGAAGGAGAGTTTTTTTCCCTGATCCCAGGTGGGTAAAAACAGAAATGTTTGCTCATTTTGATTAATGTGATCCTAAGAGCTATGATTATATCATCACATAAACATCTCAATTCAGAAATCAGAACTTCCATTTCCATGTAATAATCACAATGTTGGACTGGATGTAAAGTAAAACTGCTATCTAGGGCTTTGGCCAGAGGGAGGGAGAAGTAAACACTGTGCTCTCCTTTCCCCACCTTCAGCTCCCCTCCTCCCATCCAGTCCTGCTAACCTTGTCTTCTGAACCTGCCAAGGTTAAAGCATCAGGAGAAAGACCTATCATAACCCAAGTCCAACCCTCCCACCCCCCCACCCATATGATGTAGCCATATAAGAGAAATACTATTCAGTAATTAAGGAGACAAGGATATATTTAAATATGGACATGGAAAGAAATCCAAGATATACTGCAAGTGAAAATTTAAAAGTTGGGGAATAAAAACTATATACTTAGGTTTTGTTAAAAGTCAAATCCAGGGGCTGGGGTTGTGGCTCAGTGGTAGAGTTCAATCCTCAGCACCACATAAAAATAAATAAATAAAATAAAGGTATTGTGTCCAACTACAACTAAAAAAAAAAGTCAAAACTAGAAAAAAAACTTATTTAGGATATTTGTGCACAGAGAGTATTATTAGGGATATAAACTAAATAATCTTAAGTTAATTAATAAGTTAATTTTATTTAAGTTAATTAATTAAAGTTAATTTTAAGTTAAATACTAGGTAGTTTGATTATAGGAGAGTCTAATTTACATTTATGTGTTTCTTTTTTTAGAAATAAAATGTATGCATTTCTTTCCAAATCACAAAACAAATTTTAAAATAAAAGTGGAGATGATGGAATCACAACAGTACAAAAATTAAGAGATACATTCAAAGTTCAAATCAAGGGTAATTTCACAATCATAATTACATCAAACACAGAACAAGAATAATTGAACATTTTTGTTCAAGACGGTATAAAAAGACAACCAAATCACACCCAAGAAAAGCAGACAAATTAATAGAAATGGAAAATAATGAAATGAACATTAAAAAAATATAAGCCAAGAAGTTTTGGTATGTTCCACCTAACTGATACTACTATAGAAATAATTTTATGACTACTAGGAATTTATGGAAATCAAAAAAGGCTACATATCAAGATTCATAGCACAAAGCTAAAGAGGTATTTAGAGGTAAATTTATAGCCTCTGATACTTGCATTAGAAAGGAATAAAGAAAGGCCAAAAGTAAATTATCTAGATTAACTCACAAAGTTAGCCCCTGGATCTATAAAAGATTGATGAGAGAGCTTACAGTCAATGCAGGAAATGTTTTTTGGTTTTGTTTTGTTTTGTTTTAGTGACCGCCACTTGGATAATTGGAGGTCCATGTGAGGAAATAAATGAAAATAGTTCCCTACCTTCCACCATTCACAAATAATGCCACATGCATTCAAACTGTGGAAACTGAAATTTCCAAACTTTTTGGAACAAAAGATAGAATGGAACTAGGGAAAAGGAAGGATTTCTTTTTTTTTTTTTTTTAAGAGAGAAAGAGAGAATTTTTTAATATTTATTTTTCAGTTCTTGGCGGACACAACATCTTTGTTTGTATGTGGTGCTGAGGATCGAACCCAGGCCGCACGCATGCCAGGCGAGCGCGCTACCACTTGAGCCACATCCCCAGCCCAGGATTTCTTAAATAAGACACAAAAAACATAAGCCAGAAAGGAAAATATGAAATAGTTGACTATAATAGAATCTAAATGGCTTCTCAGCAAAGGACAGCATTAAAAGTGAAAAGCCAAATGGAAAGCTAGGCAAAGGTATTTGCTATACGTAGAATTAGCATCCAGAATATAAAGCTAAAAAGACAAGAAGAAACATGTACAAAGTATATGGGTAAGCAATTATTAGAAGAGGAATCATGAAGAGTGAATACACAGAAAAATGTACAACCACACTGGAAATTGCAGACATGCACAATTGGGGAACCATTTCTCATCTATCATAATGGAAAACACTTTACAGTCTGACGATACCCAAAGCTGGCAAAGATATGGAGCAATGTGACTCAAACACTGCTGAAAGATTATGTATCATATTCTTTTCAAAGAACCGCTTTGGAAAATAATTTGGCAATCAGAATTAAGATGAAAGTTAATACAACCTATGACCTTCCATGCAAGAGGCAAGATGCATGTGGCTAATGTTCAGAAGCATTAAAATGACCTGAGAAGTACTACCATTATTGTCATCATTGTGGTCAGGGCACCCCAATTTATGGATGGGAAACTGAGGCTCAGTGGAAGGAGGTTCCTATCGAGTCTCCCAGGGCCAGGTGGTGAGGAAGGCTTGACCCCAGAAAACCTCCTCCCTGCCCCATCCACACATTCCACACCTGGCAAGTGTCTGAGCCCAATTCTGAGCTGGCACACAGCATGTCATCCCCGATGAACTGCTTCTGGTCCTTGGAAAGGAGGAACTGGTACCGTTGATTGCAGAAATTATTGTGTATGATCCTGACAGCCACCTCCTGAAGACTATAGGGGGACTTTTGGGCCACTGAGAAGAGAGAGAGAGAGATCTTGCCTTGTCATCGCCTCAGCTTTTTGGAATATTCCCAGCTCAGAGTTGTCCATATTCACTACTAAGAAGCAGGCCATTTCCTGGGTTGGCAATTTACAAAGGCCTCCGCTTAGAGCCTGATTATTGTAGGTACATGTATGATTGCACAAATGGTGTCACTCTACTTTGAGTACAACCAGAAAAGTCAAAAATTGTGCTCCATTTGTGTACAATGAATTGCAGAGCATTCTGCTGTCATGTATAACTGATTAAGGGGGGGGGGGAAGGAAGAAGGAAAAAAGAAAATTAAGCAAAAAGATTCTCTAGGGGCTTGGAATGACAACCAGGCACGGACTTCCTATTCAGCTTCTGTGAGGGTGACCTCTGCTCTGTAGCCACCTGATAAGGTGAGACGCTCAGGTGAGACGCTCCTGAAAGGCAGAACCCCATGAAGGCTCCCAGACATTCAACTTCAGATAGCACCAACAGGGGTCAGATCTCTGGGAATTTTGGGTGCCTCAAGGTAATCAGAGCACCTATGACTAAAAAGGCCTCCTCAAGGCCTCAAGACCTCCTGAAATCAGGGATCTGGAGACCTGTAGACACAGAACCCCATTCACAGCCAATAATTAACTTCCTGCCATGCTGCAGGGTCAGGACATTATATTGGATTTCGACTGAGGTTCATGCAGGCCTTGTCTTTTTTGCACTAGAATACTGTGTATGTCTATGTTTCGAGGAGTCAGTGACACTATGTGGCATAGTAGGTGCTCAGGAAATGTTAGCAGAAGGTAACTGAGTGAATAAAGAAATGAACAAATGAGCCTTTGATGGGGTTGTGCTCTGCAGGGACAGGTGTCTTGGGACTTCTCTCACCTGCACTCACCTTCATCCTTTAGGCGTCCCCACCCAATGGTCCAGCACATGGAGCCGATGATCAGCTTGAAATGGACAGAAGGGAGGCAGACGGGCTGGACAAGGGGGGACCAGTTGACAGCATCTTTGAGCTTCATGAGGGCAATGTCCTGGGACATAACATTGCTGTAATTTTCATGGATCACAATGCGAGAGACCAGTAACTGGGTGGTGGCATCTGGGCGTTGCTGGACTCCTACCTTCACAGAGTACTTTGTGGGGTCCTTAGATCTGCAGGGCCGAGGTAGGAGGCAGATGGCTGCAGCAAGGCCATGCAAGGTCAGCAAGACTGGGGCTAAGCACAAGGCCACCCAGCCAGACCCCCTGCGACTGACCTCTGCAGGCAGTGTGCAGCTGTGAGGACCCACTGTTGGTGGATGAGGGAGCCACTGCAGATGTACACTCCCAGGAACAGGATGCTCACTTGCCATGGCCACTTGCCCACCTCCACCAGCCTTCCTTTCTCCACCCTGCAGGAAATGTTGGTTTGACCGCAAGTCTGGAACCAGGCCCCTAAAGAAAGAGGTGGAGAGGGGGCAGCGAAGGGCAACCCTCACACCCCTGGACACAGCAGACTCGGAAAAAGAACAGCTACTGCCACATGCACATGTAGGGAGGGACCTTTCCCATCACCTCAACCAAAGACCAAAATGCTCCACATTATAAAGAAAACCCCCGAACAGTGGGAACTAGACAACGCTTTCAGGGCTTCTTATGAGCCATCACCCCAGGACTCATACATGTCCACATTTCATATGAACAGATGACTGGGGGACTTAAGGGGAGAAAGAGTCATCAGAGGGGTATGCTGTCAACCAGGGGGTAGGTGGTGGGGTAGCAGTGAGCAGGGTTGCCTGTCAGTTGTGGCCAAAAAGAAATGGATAGTTAATGTTGTATTGTAAAACTCCAGCTCACCTTGACCTGGACTACAACCTAGAGGCATGGTCCTTGGGACCATGTAAGAGAGTGAACAGAGACTCTGAACCAAGGGTTTTGAAACTGTCCTGTGACAGAGGTGAATCCCCTCTAGAGAACTCTCGGGGCAAAGGTGCCAATAGAGATAGCCCAGTTTCTATTGTTCAGTAGGAGGCTCTGTGCCAGCCACAGAGCTATTCAGTTCTTAACCTTGAGTTTCAGACACCAGCTATTCAGGGCGGGGGAAGGGAGGCTAGAAAGATATGGGCTCAAGCTGATAATCATAAGCTGTTCATACTCATGACCTTGGCTCTATTTGCCTTGAAGAAACTTTTCCACAATAATCCTTTAAATAATAAAACTTATATAATAAACATGCTGAGCTTGCTTGTGGTTGGTCTTACTCCCTTCATAGGTTGGCTGAACCACCAATCCCCAGCTTTTTCTCTATTTATGTGTCTGTTTGTCTCTTCTCCATCCCCTCACTGCCTGGTCTGGTTATCTCCCTGGAATTAACGGCCATGCCAGCAGCACTGGCCCATTCCCTTCTTGCTTCTCACTGGCCCCAAGGGCAGGGGAGGGGGAGAAGAGACTGCACTGAACTAGAAATAAGATTGAGGTTTTAAACAGGACCTGCCGGGACTAATGTTTTTATTTGTTTTTTTTTTTTAGGTATACGTGACAGTAGAGTGTATTTTGACATATCGTACATACGTGGAGCATAACTTCCCATCCTGATGTGGAGTTACACTGGCCGTGTATTCATATAGGAACACAGGAAAGTTATGTCCGATTCATTAATTCATTCATTCTACTGTCTTTCCTATTCCCGTCCCCCTAGACTGATTTTAAATAACTGAACTTTATAAAGGGTAAGAAAGGGAGAAGGGTTGGAGACCCAGATTACAGAAAAATGAAAAGGTTTCTTATTATAGGCTGCTGTCAAGTTTGGATTGGTCAACGAAATGTTACACGCCATCACGGATGTCTTATAGAGGCAGGGTGGGACACACTGCATACCACAAACTGTCACGTGGCTACAGAAAGTCTGTTTCCCTGGCCACATGGTATGCAGAGCTGAGCAGAAGCACAGGACCCAGCAGCCTCTGCCGAAGCTTGGTTGGCCTCACCTGGAGGAGTCCCAGGTGTTGGAAGGGACAATAATAAACAGACTAGGCTAATAACAAAAGTGACCTGTGCATGTTAGTGGAAACATCTACTGGCCCTGCCCCACTGAAATCCCTCAGGGGGGGAGGTCACAAACTGCTATGCTTTGGTGTAATTTGAGTGTCCTCTCAATATGTAAAGACTTGGTCCTCGCAGTGCCATGATGGGAGGTACTGTGGGTCTTTAAGAGGTGGGGCCTTGTGGGAGGTCCTTTGGTCATTGGGGCGTGTCCTCAAAGGAGACTGAGAGACCCCCACCTGACTCTCTTTTCTCTTTCTCTGCTTCTTGGCTTGAGATGTGAGCACTCATTACTGGGACACCAGCTCCTGGAACATCATCTGTCACCTTTGCCAGAGTACAAAGCAATTCTTCCCATCCCACCCTGACAGATCTTGGATTTTGAACTTCCAAAACTGCAAGCTAATTCAACCTCTTCACTTCATAAGTAGGTCATCTCAGGTATTTCCCTGCAGTAACTCAAAGCTAACTAATACATAGGCCATTGATGTTTGGACTCCTTCATACGGTGTGTACCAGGCTCTTGTCACTAAGGTACATAGACAGTTCCCTTGCCACAGACTTCCACGGCTAGATGCTTTTACCCTTAACCTTCCATAGGAATCTACAGGCACTCCATGAGCCCTCAAGACCAATCCACATGGAAATGGAAGGAGACCCTCAGGGTTATACAAAATTACATACAAGAGGAAGTGAGGGGAAAGGGAAAAATAATACAAGGGGGAGAAATGAATGACAGTAGAGGGGGTAGAGAGAGAAGAGGGGAGGGGAGGGGAGGGGAGGGGGGATAGTAGAGGATAGGAAAGGCAGCAGAATACAACAGACACTAGTATGGCAACATGTAAATCAATGGATGTGTAACTGATATGATTCTGCAATCTGTATACGGGGTAAAAATGGGAGTTCATAACCCACTTGAATCAAAGTGTGAAATATGATATATCAAGAACTATGTAATGTTTTGAACAACCAACAATAAAAAATTAAAAAAAAAAAAGACCAATCCACAGAGTACTGTCTTATCTTACCTGCTTAATGCTCCATTCTTGTCCATGTCCCTTTCCACTGGCTGTCCTATTTTCTGTCTCCCACAGGAGAAGCCATGTTTCTGGTCCTTTTCCTACACTGTGGTGGTTTATGACTATACCTATTTTGTCTCCAATTACAGCCTGCCCCAATCAAGACTGTTTCACATTGGGAGGAAGGTGAGGGCTTCCAGAAGCTTGCCGGTTTCTTTCTCATAAAGTTAAGGCCCCAGAGAGCCAGAGTTCTGCAGGAAGAACTTCACCACTTACACAGTGACAGCTCTAGGTAGCAGGGCTGGCCTTTTCCCCAATGCTCCCTGCCCTCAGTAGGCTCCTAGGTCTCAACGAACACCCCCTCCTTAGAACTCCTGTCCAGGACTGAGCTGACCTCAACCTCCATCCCCAAATCCTTATGCAGAATTTGCAGGATCTGGCCTGGAGATGGATGCCAGCACCAAGGACAGAAGACAAATCTGATGGAGCCATGATGGATTATACTTGGGAGTATAAGATGTCACAAATCAAGTTGGTCCCAGGCACAAAACTGCCAGTTACTCAAACAGATCCCATTGCAAACCTTGTCCTCCACCTCTCCCTGGAGGCCCAGAGTCAGAAAGAGCAAGGTCACTTTTAAGCAGGACTATGTCGTTTCTCACACTCACACTGGTCAACAGAAGGCATGTATTGGCCTTGTCACCTCCATCTCCATAAAGTCAGCCAGCAGACTAAAGTGGTAGTCTCTTAGGATAAGAGCCCAGAGGTCTTCTGTCACTTGTGGTCAAACTTTTCACTTCCAAAGAATCTTTTGAATTCCGGTGTCACCTGAATCCTGGTATTGAATCCTGGCTCCGCCACTCTCAAGCCACAAAGGTCTCTCTCTGGGCCTGGGTTCCCTTCTGTGGAATGGTGTCCCCAGGACACGGGTACTGCTTTATGAGCCATCTCACCAGTGCCAATCTAGAGTGAGTGGACACTCCCTTGGCACACTGCCATTGTCACAGGTCCTGGTCCTCCCAAACAAGCTCATCTGTTCCATGGGTATTAATCTCTTCCTCCATTTTTGTTCCCTCATGTGCTCATGGTCACCCTAAAAGTAGGAACTGGCCCAACATCATATCATATGGCAGGTCCCCATGAGGTCATAGCCCACACCCATCCTCTCAGTCTGCTGAGGATGTACACCTCAGGATATAAACCTAGCGAGGCCCTCCAGGCACGAGGACAACTGACGTAGGTGCCCAGGCAGACAGACCCCTTCGGCCTCCATCCACACCCTGAAGTCCTACCTTCCACAAAGGGCAGATTCTCAAGTCGGCCAGAGAACAATGCAGGTCTGATATAACCCCGGAGATTCCCTGGCCCACATGCCATGGCAAGCCGATGTTTGGCCCTTACTGTTTCTTTTGATGGAAAGTGGGGACAAGGAAGGCGGGGCATCTCCATTGTGTGAGGATTCTAGAATTCATGGTTTATTCAGGACAGCAGAACATGGGTTTCTGCCCCAAGGTTGGGCTTATCCAGCTGCAGTAGCAGCGAGACTCTGAGAAGGAGACTGGATGGTCACAGCAAGGCCCTACCAGGGCCATGAGGTGATGTTGCTGTCAGGAACCTTCCTGGAATGGTACTGCTGATGCCCAGCACTGAGCCCAGACAGAGCCCTAACTCAACTCTCAGTATGACCCTCCTGCCCAGCCTTGGCCTTGACAATACCTGGGAAAGAGCTCTCTACTGGGGCCCAAGCTCAAGACCTTGCTGGCCTCTCCCTTTTCCTTTAGAATTATCCTGCAACTCTCTGACCATTACTCTCAGTAGCTTCCTACTTAAGCCCTGGTAGGCCTCCAAAGTGTCCTCATTGACCTTCTTTCCTACAATCCTGCTCACAGAGCGAGCTCTTTGAAATGCAAACCAACTCCCCTCTTTTTGTGCAAAACTGGTTGCATCAGAAAAGAATGATGTTACAAGGACATATGTCAGAAGATAAGGTCTATAATTTCTGGTAATGGTTGGTTTCCCGGGATTTTTTTAAAAAACTTTCTTTGCATTCTACTATAATGTTGGGGAAAATAGCTCATTTTTTTTAATGTCATGCAAATTTTCTGGACATAATTAATCTAAAGACGAGTTGGGCCAAGAGGTGGGAAACCAGACTAAAGCAATAAAAATAAAAGAAAATTTAAAATAGTCAAAGTCAAAGATTGGTCACCTATGCAATTTGTCAGGGGGCTGGAGATATAGCTCAGTTGGTGGAGTGCTTGCCTCGCATGCACAAGGCCCTGGGTTCAATCCTCAGCACCACAAAAAAAAAAAAAAAGATTCTAAGCAAAATGGCAACAAATTGTATGCCTAGGATTTTAGGCATTCAAATTTACCTAGGATTACCATTGACCTAGTAGTGTAATTCAGTATGTGAATAAATAAGAACCATAAAATCAAGTTAGTAGTCCACTGTTGCATCAGCAGGACCCAAGATAGTCTCTGGCACAAAGAAGATTCTTGAATAAATATCTGGGGGCTGGACGAACAAATGAAGTAAAGGCCATCCTATGTACTCCCACTATTATCACTACTATTTTGTATTGTGCTGGAGTTTCAGGCAATAACATTACAAAAAAGAAATGAATAGTTTGATTTTCAGAAAGGACAAATGGAACCTGTTACCATTTGAGGTGATTTGATTACTCCCAAATAAGTGAAGAGAACTGCTGGGAGCCATCTGCAAGCTGTGGGTAAACCGAGCAAGGTTGGAGCCATTAGGTAGGAAAGCTTGGTATCAGGAGCTCCCAATAGGAAACAGCTGCCTTGAGAAAGCCTGGTTCCTGTGGCGTCCTACCAAGCTCACTGCTCAAGTTCTAATAGCTCCTGGAGATGGGTGTGGCTTGCCAAAATGCCAATCAACCTGTCTACTATAAGACCACACCGAGAAGCAAGCACCGAAACAGGACTCCTTCCACTGAAACCTTACCCCTGCCTTTGATGTGCTCCCCCTTAAATAATTGGAGCCTTTTTCAGTTGTTCACTTGCAGCTCCTACCAGGACTGGCGCTCTGTTTTAAATCTAATTTCTACCTCTGCCTTTATTTCTTCCTGTTTATTTCAGATTTTTTATTTTCCCAGGCAGCTCACATCTCCTGGGCAGAAACCTTCTCTGTTGGGGTGCTGGTCACCTGGATAGAGAGATACCAACTAAAAAAACTACTGAATTGAAAAGATAGTTTTAGGGGCTGGGTTTGTGGCTCAGTGGTAGAGCACTCGCCTAGCACCTGCAAGGCCCCAGGTTCGATCCTCAGCACCACATAAAAATAATTAAAGATATTGTGTCCAACTACAACTAAAAAAATAAATTTAAAAATATATATATATATAAAAAGAAAAGATAGTTTTAAGGATTGGGGATATAACTCAGCGGTAGACACATGCAGAGTTATCATGCGTGAGACCATTGCTTGCCCACCAGCACTGCAAAAAGATAAATAAACAAAACAGTTCTGCAAGTCAACCAGAAATCAAGATCACTATCTCTAAAAATCCATCAATAGCTTTATAATACCTGACATGTAGAATTGTGCAAAAGGTAATGAGAAGAGATATCATTTACAATACAACCAAAATTTGCAATGTACTTAGAAGTAAACTTAATACTTACCCAGACATCCATGAATAAAACTATAAAACTGCTGAAAAGATAAAGAAGAGCTGAACTAATGGAGAAATATATCTCTGGTTAGAAATGATACATATATCTCTGTAGAAATGAGAGTTCTCCCCAAAATACTATGTATATTTAATTCCAAACAAATACCAATAGCATATTTTTGAGAAGTGTTCTGCAATTTCGTTTTTCTCCACCTTTTTAAAATTGGCACATTATGATTGTACATATTGATGGGATTTGTTGTTACATATTCATGCATGCACATGCTACAGTGATATAACTTGGCCAGTATTATCCCCCAGCACTTCCTCTGCTATATTCCCCACCTCCCACACCTTGGTCCCTTTGATTTTCATGACATCTCCCTATCTTTCTTTTCCTTTTTCCTAAGTATGTACATATGAGAGAAAACATGAACCTTGACCTTCTCAGTTTCATTTATTTTGCTTGTTGTAATGGTCTTTAGTGCTTGCAAATGACTTAATTTCATTTTTCTTTATGATTAAATAAAACTTCATTGTGTATATGTACCACATTTTCTTTATCCATTTATCTGTCCATGAACACCTAGTCTGGTTTCATAGTTTTATAGGGTATTCTGAATTGTGCCACTATAAACATGGATATGCATGTGTCACTGTAGTATGATGACTTGAATTCTTTAGGATAAATACTGAGGAGTGGTTTAGCTGTGTCATAGGGTAGTTCAATGCCTACTCTTTTGAGGAGACTTCATACTGATTTCCATAGAGATTGTGCTAATTTATATAATCCCACCTACAATGTAAAAGTGTACCTTTTTCTCCACATCCTCTCTAGCATTTATTATTCGAATTCGTGGTGACTGCCATTCTGACTAGTGAGAGATGAAATGAAATCTCAGTGTAGTTTTGATTTGCATTTGCCTAATTTGAATGATGTCAAACACTTTTTCATATTTTTGTTGACCTTTTGTATTTCTTCCTTTGAGAAGTATCTAATTCATTTGTCCATTTATTAATTGGGTTGATTTTTTCATGTAAAGTTTTTTGAGTTCTTTATTTCATCTAGATATTAATATTCTATCAGAAGAATAGCTAGTGAAGATTTTCTCCCATTCTGTAGGTTCTTTCTTCCCAACTGTTAACATTGCTGTGGAGAAGTTTTTAATTTGATGCCATCCCATTTATTAACTCTTGGCATTGTTTCCTGAGGTTTACGGGTTCTACTGAGAGAGTTGTTGCCTGTGCCTACATGCTGGAATATTGACCCTACATTTTCTTCTAGGAATTGCATAGTTTCTGACCTAATTTCTAGGTCTTTGATCCATTTTGAGTTGGATTTTTTTGTGTGTAGGGTGAGAGATAAGGGTCTATTTTCATTCTTCCACATATAATCAGTTTTCCCAGCCATTAATATTTTTAATGGATGTTGGCAAGCTGATTCTAGAGTTTATATGGGAAAAATAGGTAATATTTTATTTAAAAGAGGAGAATTGTTGCTACAATTTAAGAAAATATAACAAAGTGATGGAAACAGTACAGTATTAGTCCAGGGGCATAAAGGTCAGTGGGAAAATAATAAGAGTTCAAAAATGAATGCATAAATATATTGGGATTTCATTATAAGTGTGGAAATTCAAATCAGCAGGAAAAGGATGGACTATACAAAAAAAAAAATGGTGACAACAAAATCAGTTCTTGGGTTAGAAACAGAGTTAGGTCCCTGCCTCACACCATATAGAAAAAGAAATTCTATGATTACTATGATTACTTCTGGGGACAGAAAACAGAACCAGTGGGGACCAGATGAGAAAAGAGGAATCTTTATATACAATCTCTGAATTTTAAAAATAAATCACAACAAGAATGTATTTATATATTGCTTGAAATGTTTTTTTTTTAATAAGAAAAGAACATAGAAGGAAATACATCAAAACGAGAAGAGTGTGTAACTCTGTGTGGTGGGACTGGGGAAGGTTTCCTTTCTCTGGGCTTCACTGTATTTACTAGCTTTCTATGATGAACATATAATACTTTTACAATTAGTTTAAAGAAAACAGGAAGCTATGTTCAGTGTACTCTCTGTGGATCATTCCTACTGTCAGCCTATAAGGCATGTTTTGACTCCTCCCTTACAGTAATATACCCACTGTACAGATGAAAGAACGGAGGCTGCAGGTCCAGGTCCTTTTCCTATGCTCCAACACTGGAGAGAGAGAGCTTCCCATTTGGGAGCTCCCTGGCAGAATTAATTCCAGGAGGCCCTGACCTCCCACCTACTCCCAACCCCCAGGGATGCTCCAGAGAACAGAAAAAAGAACCAGCTCACTTTGCATTAAATTTAAACCCTACTATCTTTGTCCCAGATTCCAGAACCCTCTGGATCATACTCCCCCTTTTTCTCACCCAGGGCTTAGTCATTCACCACACCCCTCCCTGCTGGGATGCCAAAGCAGGACCCAGTTTCCCAGGGGCCACTCTTTCCCTACCCTTGAATATGGACATGTGACCTTGGTCCAACCCCCCATCTGTTGCCATCCAGCAGAGGCAAAGCAGACAGAGGAAGGGGTGAAGTCAGGGGCCCATCAGAGGCCACAGCAGCCAGGACAGGAATAGGAGCCAGGAGGAGCTGCAAGGACCAGTCAGAGTTCCATGGCTCAGTTGCTTCTTGATCCATTGGCTATATTTGGTGATGCGAGCGAACACTCCTGGATTCCGTGTTTGGGTGCAGGCCTTCTC